ACCTCGCTCAATAGCCTTCACGCCTATTCCTCACCATGCTTTTTTTTTTAAAGAGAACAAAGGAAAAATCAATATAAAATGAGGACTGTGACGATTTCACATAAGCAGATGTAATTTAATTTATTTTGGCAAATACTCCAATACCATACTCTATATCTACTTGCGAGATTTCCAGTCTTCGACTTCGTAATCCCATTTTGAGGCGAGACCGGTGATAGGATTCATTTCCAAAGCAATCATACGTTTTAGCTGAGCTTGACGGTTATCTTCTTCAAACGATTCGGGTGAAGACTCGCTAAAATGTGTTAATACTGTCATCAAAAATGCAATAGCCATCGCCCAAAATGCTATGCCTACAACCAATTTCCATTGACCAGTGGGTGCGTGTATTTCCGCAAATGTTTGACAAAAACTACCGCGATACAATTTCTTTATTTCATCCAGCGTAAGTTTATTCCAATCGCCCTTTTCCTTTTCTCGCAATGCGCAAAGTTCATCGCCGCCTTCGCGAAAACGTATTGCCGGCATAGGATATTCCGGTAAATCCATATAAACTGGTGATCCATTAATACCATAACCTACATACTCACGTTTACCGCTCATTTGATTACAATAGTCGCTAGTGGTGCTGCGTTTCACCACCAACTGTGGAACAAATCGTAAAGGTTTGTATAAGTGATGATGAATAAACATTTTACCACATTTCAAAGCCATTTTTTCTTTTTTTTATCTCTCAATATTTATGTATAACCCGTTCGCAGTTATTTCTTTGAACAATTGAAGATTTCATGAAAGAATGTGAAAAGTTTTGACATTTACTTCAAACGTTTGTTAATTTTATTTTCAGGAAATTTTAAAGTACTTGAAAAAACTTTTTGTTTTCTTTGACATTTTGGTTTTTACGAAATATTATTTAACACTTAAACCAACTATAAGTGAAAGAAAAAAAACTTGAAGCTAAAGCTCATCGTTTTAAAAACTCACATTTTCATATTCATACACACATATACAAATAAAAAAAAGAAAATCTATACAAATATACATAGATGGATGATAAAAAGCTTTTAATTTGATTTTAACGGATATTAATAAAATTTTTATAGAAATTTCTTTTTACGACCTCTTCCACAGAGGTGAACGATTTCAAAATGCCTCAATAATTGTTAACACTTGTGGCAACACAATGCATCGCAGTCTAATCCTTTCCCACACAAATCTTCTAATCATGCCCATCGTGTAGGCCATAGAATTTCTTCAGCACCATCATCCGCTATCGGACTTATTAATCTGTCACCGTATGGCCTATACATCATTGGCTGCATGCCCTAACAAAAGGGCGTATAAATTTGTGCAAGTTATACATTCCTATTGTATCACTACATTTTAAATCGTACGCTGCGAAGGGTGGACAGCCTTTAACGAAAAAGTTTGATAAAACCTGCTCACTA